ATTGGTTAGTGTGTCGAGGGATGCCTCATTTTGAGGTCTTGAATGCCCACTTCACCCCGCTTGACCCGGTCGTTGCGACGCCCTCCGTTCCATGTTGAAAAAGAACATACCAAGCCTTTTCGGGAATCTTGGCTTCAGCATACCGAAAGCTGGTTTCAAGGACTTCATTGAAACTTTCCATTGCGACCAGGATGGCTTCTCGAGCTGCAGGGGGCAAATCTGTCATGAAGGTGCTCGCCGCCACTTCTTGCAGATAAATATTCATCACTTTGAGTGACAGCCAACGGCCTCTTCTTTGCACCATTTCTGCGGACTCGGTGAGGCTGATCATATAGGTTGCCCCACCTGGTCGAAAGGAAGCCAGCGTCATCGGTTTCTGGCCGTTCATCTCTTTGATCGGCAGGCCCAGCTTAAGCAAAATCTTGTCAAGCCTGTGCCTCAGAGTAGAGGATGAACCAGGCCAGAGGGGCTCTTCTGGTCGGAGGTCTCCAAGTCCAATCCAAGCAACTCTCATCAGATCTGGAGCCTCTAACTTGCTGTTTTGGTGGCGTGCCGCCCTGAACCTGGTCTTCGGTTCCAAAATCCTCCAAAGGATGTGATCAATGGAGAATCTTACATCCTGAGGAAAAATCACATCTCTCCTCCTGGCGGCCATCAGCTCTCCTGGCCTCAGGAGCATACCCCAGCACAGCGCAAAAAGGGCTGCCTCGCGCTTCCAGCCCCAAACCAAACAACTGGCAAGTACTGCCAGGAGCAGCTGTACGGGCATAGCCCGGTGGTGTTCAACAGGTTCAAAGGAGGTCCACATAGCACAGAGGTCCCAAGCCTGTTGGAGGGACCTCCTGAGGATCGGCCTTTTTGCGCTAACCAGATTGATGGTTTCTGCCAGGTGGTAGTATGGTTTTCCCTCAGCAAAAAGGAATCTACCATACTTTGATAGCACGTTGTTGACCTTGTCCAGATCCGGGGGGTTTTCAAGAAACACACTCTCAAAAGACAGTCCTTCTTGTCGCAGCCAACCATTCAGCGCAGCCGCCAACTGACTTCGCACGGAGGAGGTCAGCTGAGTCACACGTCTCCCCTCTGGCAGCTCCAAACCTTCTCGCTGCTTTCGCCTCAAGGCGTCTCCATGGCTCGCGCCCACGCACCCGCCTAGCCTACAAAAGGTCAGCAAGGAGAGCATTCCAATCAACTGGCGGAGATGCGGCCCTTCCCCCGGAAAACCAAGAGAGGGGTTGAAGTCCATGAAAGAGAGAGGATCGAGATCATACGCCGGCCCATACTGGCGAAAGCAGTGATGGCTGGAGAAGAAGCTAATCCAGGAGGGACAAAGGAGAAGGCTCACTCTGATCCAATTTGCTGTCCACCTCCGAAGACCTGACAGAGACGAGAGCCATCTGAGCTCCCTGCTACTGAGCGCTCCAAACCCAGGAGATGTTCGCTCAGGAATCTCGGTGTCCCGTGTAGGGTGATCAGCTGGATTCATCCGGGTGGGAGCATACCTGCCGGCCTGGTAGAGGCCATATGCAGTGGAAATGGTGCTAGCCCTCTTCAGCAAACATCTCAACGCATCAGACGAACTCCTCCCACGGACCAAGGCGCACAAGGCAACTTGGGAGTCAATGAACCCAACAAACCTGAGGTCTCCCCCACGAAGAGCTTCCGCCTCGTACGCTCGTAGAACAGCTGCTGCCTCAAGTACATTGATGTGGGGAGACCCATGCCATCTCCAGCTGGAAAGAACCTTCCAATCAGAAGTCAGCAGCACCTCATTTGAAAGTGCATCCTCAAGGCCCCTCTTGGCCCCAGCCAGAGCCACGCCTCCAAGGACTTGTTGGATGTGGCGCCAGAAAACAATTGCCATAGCACGTGCCAAACCAGGACAGTATGTAGCACTGGGCTTGGTGTATTTTCCTTCAATGCGAAGATGAGGATGGTCTCGGGAACACTTCTTGGCCAGGCCACTTGCATTCATCGAAACCACCAAAAGTGCAAACTCCTTCTGGTGCAGAGACCCATAGGCACAGGAGGCCAGATGGACCTCCTCGGCCCCCAGGGAAAGGAGGCCTTGCCACTGTGGGGTCCACCTCAGCTTCGATCTTCGAGTGGTCTCCATCATGCCCGGAGTCCTCGTCCTCTTTGCAATCATCAGCAGACCCATGCACGAGAAGGCCATATCATTGCCATGCACCACTCTGGGATGAAGAGGATCAATTCCAAGGGGCTGCTTGTATGTCCTGAGACAAGGATGAGCCGCCGGACTGAATGTAGTGCAAGGAGGGGCTGCTAAGAAGGATCTCAGCCTGCCATGCTCACACATATAAGCCAGCCACTCAAAAACTCGTCGATCAGTGATGTCATACTTCTGGGAGTAGGATATATCTATCACCGGCCCACAAACTGCCCCCAGCTTAGTGAGCTCACTTGTAACGACTCCGGCTCCTCCACAAACCTCAATGAAGTCAAAATGAAGGCCAACCGGCCTCCCAAAGTCCACCTCACGAGGAAGTTCATCCTCATCATCAGGCAGCTCTTCAAATCCTTCATCCTTGATCCTGTGAAGTGCCGCTGTTCTGCTTTGAAGCTTCTGGCTTTTGACCTTCTTCGTCGAGGTCCTCCACAAAACTCTTGAGATATCTTCTCCAACCTCAGCAAAGACAAGGCCCCCTTTTACGGTGGAGGCATCAGAAGCATAGACCCGATCAGAGAAAGGCGCTGCAATGTTGGTGATGGCCACAGGGCACAGGCATGATAGTACCAGCAATTCCTCAGCTGCTGCTCGACACAAGGGCCGGAGGCGCGACTGCTCCGAAGACAGATCATCATGGTCTATCACCTGGAAGAGCTTGTTCATGTGGGCCATAAGCGGTCTTCTGTAGAGGAGGACAGAGATCCATGACCCCACCAAAGAAGAATGCAGGCTATCTGTTGTGTAGGGAAACCCGGCAGCGACAGCACTCATCATCATCAATCCAAAGCGTTTCTCACTCGGAGCCCCGAGGGAAACCAAACCCTTCCTTGCCAAGCCCTCGATGGAGTTGATCTCAGCACCAATCACCTTGAAATGCAGCGAATCAGAAATCTCCTTGTCATCTGATCCCAGGACCTTCTGCTTCTTGTATGTGTCTTTTGCTCTCTGCAAGGCCATAGAGGCTCGGTTGGGCTTGAGGTACTTGTCGCCCGATGCACCCGCAAGACCTTCTGCAGAGAGTACAAAATAGTCATCAATGACCAATCCAGAAACTGGAGAGTTGTGCAGGATAGAGGAATTTGCGCACAGGCGGTTGTCTGAGGGATGGCATCCACCTTCCTCTAACATAGCTTCATGGGCACAGCATGCAAACTCAACTCCTAGATGGTCTCCTTGGAAAAGAGCCCCAAAAGCTGCATACACCATCGAGTCATCGCTTTTGCTGACCAACAGCGGCTTCGGCATGCCCAGGAAGTCCCCCATGTCCTCTCGCGAGTGGGCGCTTCTCTTTCCATGATCTTGGAAATCCTCGCAAAACCGGTCATAGGCCATCGTGCCACTGAAATCTCGGAGAGGAAACGGAGGATAAAGAGTGTTCGATGCTGCACGTTCGTAGGAGACGGAGAACTGGTGGTAGAAGTCCCGCCTGTCTGCCACAGCTCCCACAATGACCTCCTCAAAGCGTTTTGCCTCTATCTGCAACAGAGCCGTGGCATTTGGGATGTTGTGAGAGGGACCCTCAAGAATCCTCCCTTCAACATAGTTCCTGCCACGACGATCTCCAATCTGTCGGTCGACATCTCTATTTTTCAGATTGCCAAAAACCTTTGTGTGTAGAAAGAGCTGATCTTCCTTTGGCCCATGTGACATAGGAATGAGCCGCAGCAGGCCATTTGCATCCCATACCCTGCAGAGATCTCGGACCTGTTCTACATCACATTCACGAACATCTGGAAAGGATCCTGCGGGAGGACGAACATCAAAACGATTGACATCCGGCTCAACAAAGGGCATGTACAAGAGATCAGAGAGGAATTCACGACAATCCCAGTCCCCTCTTCCAGAGAGCCTGATCCTTGAAGCTGTAAGTGGCCTGTAAGGGCGAAGCTCTTCACAAATGTCATTGTCCTCAGGCACGATTTGGCCGGAGGCTCCTCTGTGGTAGAAGGAGGAAGCATTCAAGCCCAGCTGTTGTATGGCGTCACCCAACTCCTTCAATCTTGCATCTAATTTGAAACTCTTACGGCCCATACCACCTATGGAAACTGTAGATGGGGGGCCGCTCGCTCT